GGGCACAAGCCCTAGAACCCGAATCCGTCACAATAACAAAAGGACAGACAATGAAATGTGGGCTATTTCACAGTTGCAGTTGCAAGATATAAAGTCATTATTCTGAATTTTTAAATCGCAATTTTGAGCTATAAAGTCGCGATTCTGAGTTTTTAAATTGTAATTCTGAGATTTCAAGTCGTAACTCTAAGATTTTAAGTCGCAACTCTGAGTTACAAAGTCGCAATTGCGAGATACCATAGCAACGTTTTTTTTACTCCCTAGTGGAAACAGGCTTCCATAATTAGTTGCACCCAAAATGTGTTAATTATTATTGAGCTCAGGGGCAAAAGTAGCTTTTTTATTAACTTAGTACAGCATTCCTGGTTTGGAAAGGCACTTTATAAATACATTGTTATATATAACTATTATTATCCTGCACTTCCCAAATGACTCCAAAAACACTCAGAAACAACCCTTAAGTCTCTTACGTGGGGGGATGATCAGTGGATCGGAGTTTTCCCCCCTTTCGTTCAAGCCGGGACAGAAAAAGGGATAGAGTTTCTCTGTGAAGGTGTCGGTGAAAGTGTAGATGTGATTCCTGGTCTCCACGTTGTAAAAGGAGACCTGTCCTTCCTCGTAATCTACATACACCCCCAATGTCCGGGGCTTCAGATCAAGTGGCAGAGGGTCCCAGGAGGCAGCGTTGGCACTGAGCTTCGTTCCGTTCCTCAGCTCCACCGTCCAGTAACCGTTCTCGAGGTTCAGTATGACGCTGCCCTTCCTGCTCACAGATTCTTTGGCCACTCCTATAAACCACTCCGTCTTCTCCCCTACCTCCACCTCCCAGTAGTGTCTCCCTGAGGTGAAGCCCTGCTTGCCCAAGACGTTGATAATCGGGTCGTATCTCTCTGCGTAGTTGGGAAAGTCCTGTTTTTCCTCTCCCAGTCTCACTTGTTTCCCATTGCCGGACAGGATGAGGTTTGCCTGAGCCGTATTGGGGTCCAGAGTCACGTCAGCTGTGGAAGAAACAGAAGAGTACCGCCTCATCGATCCCGTCGTCTCTAGCCCACGGTTAATTGGGCGTCGTGTAGCAGATGTAGACAGATTCCATCCATCCATTTTTTTAATGATTGTAAGCCATCATTACGTGGAGGGGAGCCAGAGCCTATCCTGGCCATCAAGAGGCACATAGTGTACGTCCTGGACAGGACACTAGTCCATCACAGGGCACACATGCACACGCGCAGCAGGGAAGAAACCTGGAGCACCTGGAGGAAACCCACGCAAGCAAAGGGGGGTGGGCATAGAAACTCCTCGTAGCGAGCACCCTTGGCAGATTCTTTCAGTAGGAGATTCAAAACAATAATAAACATACTTCCCCCAAACGGGTTCGGTTCCATGGACCAGGCCCTGAGAGTCTGAGCCTGGGTTATACCGCTAGCAAACTGGCAGGGGGTACGACTCCTCGCATACAACTGATTGTGCACAATGAGGCTGCCAGGGCATCTCTTGATGTGCGGGCCTGCTGTATTGCCTGAGATTTCCTCCAGGTGGTGCAAACTATCCTTTTAGGAGACGTATGGAATTAATACTACGAGAGCAGCAAGCATTGACCTGTTTAAGAAATGATTTGGAGACGTGATTAAATATTGACCTGGCAAATGACCATTGCTGTGCATTTTTAGAGATCTTGGCAAAAGGTGTTCTGAATTACTGTGTGTTCAGCCCTTTGTGTTGTGCAGTGGCCGCTATGAGAATGCTCTATCTACATGATTCAGTCAATGTAGTTTTAAAGACATCCTTGACTTTCGAGAACATTTCAGCAGGGGTTTGTAAAGAGATTATTAGACAGTACCTGATGCTTCACAAATCCACTTCCACACTGTCAAAAAGAGAGAAGCACTTGGATTAATATCACTCTATGCCACTGAAACAATTAGGTTAGTTCCTAAACAACCACTTAAAATAACCCGTTAAATCTGAAAAAGAGGAGATTAGGATTTGATCAGGTCCTGAAAAGTATGATGGTAAGGTTGTGAAATCTTCTGAACAGTAGGAAAGCATGTTTT